ACAGCACTGGAGGTGCAGCCTCACCAGTGAGAACCAATGCATCATTCTGGCCAGAAGCTCTCAGTGTCCTTCAGCGAGTAACTGCTCCATGTGCATGCCCATAGCTCTGTCCAAGCAGCCTCGCTGGCAGTGGACGGAGCTGTGCTGAGGTGTAGGTTCCCTTCCCGGCTCCGGTGATGTGCTGGCTAAGTTTGTGTTCCCTGTGCTCCTCTTTCCCCAGCTGTAAAACGGGAGTCGTGGTACCAGCCTACAGCTCAGTGGTTGCTCTGCAGTAACGTCCCCGGCTGCGGCTGTCTGCCACCACCCAGCAGCATCAGTCAAGTACTTTGTGCCCCTCCTTGACGTTCAATAAATGGTGACTATGGCCAGCTGGGAAGTTCGGCTTTTTCTCACACCAGCTGAAAGTGCTCTGGTCTCAGCAACAAAACGGTGTGCTCAGGATGGCCATCGCTCTGTCCGGAGTTGCTCTCCACACGCAGACTGCGATCCCACAGCTGACGCAGAGATGTAGGGTTACTTGTCACCAGTCACCCACGCTTCTCCTGCTCCGTAGCCTTCTCAGTAGCAGCACATCTTTAGACTTGAAAACGAATCCACCCACCTCACGTTAGGTCTCCTATCTGCCTGCTCCAAAGATAAACCTCACGTATGTGCTTGAGTAGGGGTAAGTAGGCAGAGCTGGCTTTCTAACCCATTTCTGGTTTGTCTCCTAGGTCTCCTCTTATTTCTGCTGGGAATGGGAATCAACATTCACAGTGATCTCCTGCTGCGCCAGCTGAGGAAACCCGGGGAAGTCACTTACAAGATTCCTCAAGGTATATTCTTATCCCCCCCCAGACCCCTTGGAGAAAGTAGGGCAGCAGGACAGATAATGTTTTCTGACTGAACTCACAGCAAAGTGACAATAACAGCAGAGCCGCCAGTGTCACACAGGTGCTCGGTTCCGGTGGCCCTCTGAGCCGCAGGGACTAGCGTGAGCCGGCTGCAGATAGTCCGCGAGAAGCAACGAGAGTATCTGGAAAACGTGCGCTGTGAGGAGAGGTTTTAGGACATGGGCTGGGTAATTTCGAGAAGATTGAAGTGGGACATAGGAAGAGGATTTTAGCCTTGTAAAAGGCAGCTGCGAAGAAAGAAATATTCTTCTCCATGCCCGGGAAGAAGAAGTAGTGGACTTCTTACACTGCAAAAGGGAGACGCAAAGTGTAAACTTTAGGGGAAAAAAATAACACTAAGGATGCAAGGTGCAGAATTTCCTTTCCGTCTCCTTCAAGGTGGGGCTTGGTGAGGAAGAGTGGCCATGGGCCAGAGCGGTGAACCTGGGAATGTCTAGCTCTGTAGAGCAGTATGGATGGGGATCCAGGAGTTCCCTGGTTTTGGTGTTGGCTCCTTCTGCTGGCTTGTTACGGATGATAATCTCTCTCCCCCAGAGTTTTTCACCTCCAATACTTACCTGCCTCTTGTAGATGTTGTGATTAGCTAAGACGCAAAACCGAGATCCAGATTCTGCATTCCCCAAAGGTAGTGGAGTTGCAAAATATTTTTTAGGGCCCGAAGAGAATTGACTAATGTTAATAATTTTAATTTAAACTAATAATGGGCTTTCTTAAGTCCTTTTCCAAATGAAAATAAATGACAGTAAAAGTGCTGGAAGCCTCTGGGTTAGAATCACCTTTGATTCTGGTACTTTTACAAGAGTCTTCTACAAGACCCTCCTTTGGCACGGCTCCACTGGCTTCAGGGCAGTGGCCTGAGGTTGCGGTTATGGGCTCTGAATAAGAAAGGTAGCATATTCTGCTGCTGAATTTATGGGAAAGAACTTTCCATGTGTATGAGATCACTGTAAAAATTCCGTATTTTGTTCGTTGATGCAGGGGGACTGTTCACCTACGTTTCTGGAGCCAACTACTTTGGAGAAATTGTGGAATGGTTTGGTTTTGCCATAGCAACCTGGTCCCCACCAGCCTTCGCCTTTGCCTTTTTTACTCTTTGCTGCATTGGGCCACGGGCTTATCACCATCACAGGTATCAAACTGTTTCATGCCGTATGCTGCTGCTTGCTCTTGGAGTGCAGTTTGCAAAATGCCAGGGAGGGGCAAAGGAGCAGGGCCAGGATTCAAGATAAAATCGAAATTTAATACTATGTACAAGAAGCGTATTGGCTTATTTGTGATGGAGTAAAAGCATAGCAGCTGGCTGGAGCCCCTGTTGAGTCAAATGGGCCTCTTGATAGTCATTTAACCTGACATGAGCTACATCACTGCTTCCGCCGTGTTAAAGCCTCTTTTCTCTGAGCCTTGTAAATGTGAACCTTTCCTAAGGGTTCCCTTGCAACCTCTGCCGTCCTTTGGAGTAGACACGGTCCCCTGCTCTGAATTCCTAAAGCTTCTACTTCAGGCCTGTTAGAACCTGAGCAGTACTATCAGCTTTCGCTTAATTAAATAACTTGGTGTAAATAGTTTTGGATGCTCTTTTGCAGAGTAACGCACAGAGGTTACAAAGCAAGGCAGTTCGGAGGAGTTGTAAGGTTCCTCAGATGAGCTGTATTGAAACTGTGCAGTTTCCTTCTATGTATGCAGGTTCACTCTCTTGCTTATTTTCTTTCAGGTACTATCTCAAGACATTTACGGACTATCCAAAATCAAGGAAAGCCTTGATTCCTTTTGTTTTTTAATGATTGAAATAAGGACTCTGTGTTCTGTTTTTATAGGGCTTTTTTCAGTTCCTAGTTTTAATGTTAGGTCTGACTATAATTAATTGTACGAATGATTACCTGGGGTTGTAACAGACAAGAAGGTAATGTGGAACTGAAGTTCTTATTTTTAATTACAGGGGAAATTGCAGATAGTTGTGGGCAAAGGGACTCCCCAGACAACATGTTTGCTTGTCAGTGGAGTTCTGCCTATGGAAAATGGATATATAACTGCACTGACACCAGAGAAAAAGTCTTGGCTAAAAACTGATGCAGAAAAGTAGAGAGTAAGCCCATAACTTCAGAGAAAGTCTTCAGCAGCCACTCCAATTTATAACACTTCTTCCTGCCTCCATGCCGTAGCACACTCCATGCCCTCGCTCTGCCGGCACTGCCCTGGGTGCTGCCACACTCTAAGGAAAGCCAGGAAGAGAATTCAGCCCATTAGTTTTCATCTAAAAGCCAGCTTAGCTCCCAGAACCATAGTGCAACAAGAGGATCCTTGTGCCGGCAGCAGGCTGGGAGCAGTGTGCCATGGCACAGAGGCGATGCGAAGTACACGGAGATGGAAGTAGCTGAAGCTGGCACTCACAAGCACAATGTCTGTGTTCCTTCCTTAAGCAATACTCTCCTCACTGTCAGATGGTTAATCTTCAGCCGTCAGGGTTTTTTTAAAAAAAGCTCCATTAGGATTTTCTTCTCTTGCAAATCCAGAGCTCTTTTCAGAATAAAAATTTGTCCACGCAAAACCACCCAATTGTTTTTCATAAAAAGACTTGAGATGGTGATGTATGACAAAAATTACAACAAATAAAAAGCTGTGTTGAAGAAAATGTTCTCCGACACTGGCAGTACATTTTGCCTACGGAGAGTATTTTCAGATACTCGTATTAGGAAATGATACAGAGATATTATTGAGTTTTCACAAAAACACAGGATGTCTCTTCCGAATTTCACAATATAGTTAGGAATTTTCCCAAAAATGTCATTAACCCCAATAGGAAGTGATGTCCCCACAGATGCTGATAGTTCTTGTTACCTCTTAGAGCATAAAATCCCACTAAGAATTATGCTGAGTAGCTGGAAAGAAAAAGACCAAACCGCACATACTAAACGTACTACCTGCTGCTGGAGTAACCTGATTGACTGTACACAATTTTCTCCAAAACACAATAAAATGTATGTAAAACATAAAGCTGTGCTAGCCCATCACTTTCCGTTTGCAGAAACAAGTCTCTGTGATGTTGCTTACCAAGTGCTGCTCACGCTGGCTTCCTCCTTCTGGGCAAACCCTCCCTTCTTTGCTCGTATTATTAATTGTCTTCATTCCCGTAGAGCCGAGCAGCCAGGCGAGGCTGGGTCCCGTGGCGAGGGTCCCTGCGCAGCGTACAGGAGAGCCGGACGCGGCAGGGACGAAATCGGGTGCAAGCAGAATTGTCATTGCGTGGGCCGTGAGTTTCACATCAGCGCCACAAACGTATTTTCCTTTCGTTTCCTTATGTAAATCCTCCATATGGAAACACACTGGGAAGGGGGTTGCTGGGTGTGAAGTCAGGGACAGAAAGGCCGGAGGCGAGGAGGATACCGGGCGGGAGGGAACGGCCTCTTCCCCAGGGAGTGGATGCTGAGGGTGAGCAGCGGCCGTGCTCCCCGGAGGTCCTCGCCTCAGCAGCCCCTCCGTGACGATTCCTCCTTGCGCTTTTTTCCCCCCAAAAGCCTCGCAAGTGATGAGAGATCAAATAGCCCATGGGTGCAGGTGTCCATAGCTGCTCTCTCCTCCATTTGTTTCTAAGCCAGGGGGAGAGCAGGGACCAAGCTCTGCCTCACCCTTTGGACCAGAACAGGGCTTGTACAGACTTCTCCGTCCCTCCTACCCACCCCTCGTGGCAGAACAGGACTATTCCCTGCACTTATTTTGTCTTGCTTACTATTTGCCCCAGATGGACCGTTATGGCCACTGTCAGTCCCAGGCCCAGATGTGCACTGCAGGGAGCCGGGGATCAGGGTGGGAGAACCGGTGCTGGCTCCAGGTGGGAGATGGCCTGCCTGCAGGGGGGGGGACCCCTGCGCCGGCCGAGCACAGGGTGACTCGAGGTGCTGGATGCCTTGCAGGAGCAACTCCATCCCCTCTGTCATGGGCCTCGGACATGTCGCGTGGAAAAGGGCTGCAGGCAGGAAAGAAGCACATCTTCCATCTGCCCCCTCCCGTGGCATTTTTGGAGAGCAGGAGCGACACACGTACGCTTTAAACCCCCTACAAGTAACAACTGCAGTTAATTGTGATGGAGAGGAGACACAGGCTCTCCTCACGTTGAGTTCCCCCGTGGGGCTGGTGGCTGCTGCCCTCCCTGCCTGCCCCGCTGTGCCTGGGAACGCCCCAGGGCAGCACACCTAGGGCCACAATGCTCCCAAGAAATTTCTTTCATCATCCCTTACTTTTTTTTAATAAGGAAAAATATGTTCCCCTTGCCTCTGGGAGAAAGAACACAGCGGACACTTTCACAGCCCTCTGTTCAAGCCTCTGGAGGCTACGTACGCACGCAGTGATTTCAGAGCTGGCTGTAAAGTGTTTGGAAAAGCAGCACTTTTCTGACTTTCTTGGCGATGTCCTTTTGTTCTGCCAAAAGCTAAGAGAAGTGTCCTCTGCTGGTACGCCTTTGAAATAATGGCTCATTCCTTTCCTCCCCCTTTTGCAATACTGTTTTTCTGTTTGGTTTCCTCCCATCATTCACATTTTAGTTTTCATTTATCTTTGAGGAACATTTATGTTTGGGTGCTGTTCCCCTGGAGAGGACCTTCCTCAGGATAGCTCTGAGTGTTGCTGCTCTGCTAGAAAGACCTCGTTTACACGGAGCCGATAACCCAGCCTTCATCCCCACTGGCAGCCTGCTGGGAAAATTAATCCTTTATCCCCAGGGCTCTTGTTAATTTAATTATTTGTGTATTGTTCGAGTGCTTTTTTCAAAAGCTGACTTTCCGTAAACATGTGCTATATCGCTGTGGTAATACACAAACGGCTTAATTGTGCATCTGCCAGTTTCTTCTGTGAAACGCGTTTTCTGCACCTCAGAGATCAGACAGACCACTTATTGATACCAGGATTTAGATATCTAATCTCTTCTGACAGCCGAGAACAGAATTAAACACTGTTCACTGGG